CGATTAGTTAGTTCATTATTTTTGTCGCAATGTTTACACATAGCATACACTTGGTACTACACGTCAGTGCTAGGCGGCTATAGTGATATAAAATGGCGGCAAATTGATTTCAAGTGGGGTTTGTCGAAAATAATACTGCTCTGTATTAGTGCTATGATTTTTACATTCGAATTATTCTGTACTCGTCTAATATTAAAAAATGTTTTTGACGGATGTTCATCTTGAGGTAGTCGACTTAATACGTATTTTTTTAGAGGTACAAAAACGCATAACCGACAAACCAATAACATCCGGTGTGTGTGTGTGTTATCTTGTGTCCCATATTATCGTCAACATAGCGTTTATGGTAACCACTAACAGCGGTCTCGTATAAGATATTACAGCATATGTAATAATATTATATTCAAACATTTATTATGTTATTGTATTAATTATATTTGTATAGTTTTGAGGGTTGTTGACTATCTGTCATTTTTCTAATGCAACTTGAAAGCCATGAATATCAAATAATTGCATTTTAATTATTTACTATATTCTCGATAATTCAAGCGTCTTATTTTATTGATTATCCTAATAAAATATTGCGAAAAATAATTGATAAGCAGTAATTTTTAATTAAATATTATTTATGATAGCTGTTCGTGATTGCAGTAGCAGGACTTTTTGATTAAAACAACATCATTGAATCCAGCCCATCACATCAAAACTACCTTACCTGCGTTTGCCATTGGAGCTAAAATCAAAATTCACATGTAAGTATATATTTGTAATCATATCGTATGACATAGTAGTCTATATTTAAGTATAACATTTTATTTTTTATATCAAGTTTCTGCAACTCTAATTTACTATTGGCTTAGCAAGCTAAATATTATTTTACTGTTACGCATTATGTAAATCATATTTGATGTATCGTTCCTTTAAAATAATAATCAGTGAAGAAAATAAAAAAAATACTTAATAAAAAATGATAATTTGTTATTATTTTAGAGAATAGTAAAATAATTAAAGTTTATGATTCAATTTTGTATTTTTAATTTCTGTATGACACGGTGTCATTGTTTTGAATTTCGGCATAATGAAGTATTTAGTACTTTTTTTATGTAATGATGGTGGCGTTAGAGTAGTGGTTACTCTAAATTTAGGAAGGGGTATTGAGTTATACTTCTAGTTTTTTACAACAGATAGCGTTAGCATACTGTTTTTGTACTTGCATTTGATATATTTATGTTTACAGTTTTCAGCGCTATTATACATTTCTGACATGTCATATAATAACATTAGAATAGCTTATATATTTTAGTACAACTTTGATCTTTGGAGTAAATTCACATTCTATCCAGCGTGAATATATCCATCATGTATAAATATATCGGCTATTATATTTTAATATTATTCATTTTATTATAAACTAGAAAATTAAGTCTATTCATAAGTACTTAATGTCCATAATAAAAGTATTTAATTTCTGCATATCTTAATAATTATACTTCGTAAAAATTGAGATGTGCTATTTTTGAACGACATTAAATACTTTCGAATATTACGGGAAACAGAATATTAAAATAGAATTAAAAATTACTATTGCAATACACCTTTATTATGGTATTACAATTATTATTGCTGTCATGATCAGATTAATTGGAGCTAAGGAATAATGGTTTTAAAAGGTTCATTTTGAATTTTGTTAGCCTGCCAAGATATATTTTAAATAAAAAAAATTTTTGTTTTCCTCGACACTTTCTCGTGGAAGAGAAATTTTTATGTTTTATTTTACTGCTTATGGTCCATACACTAATTGTAGCTGGAAGGAATCTTATCACAGCTTCTTTAGAACTTCTTTTAGACCTCCTAAAATATGTATTATAAATGTTATATTGTTTGTAACACGATTTTCTATTAAAGGTTTTTAAGGACATTTTGATTTATTATTATCCTTGATCAATTTTAAGCAGAGTTCGGTCGAATTTCAATATCAGACGTAGATATAGGTATACCATTAAATTCAAAACCATTGAAACCCACTGCATTAATTTTTCGTTTTTGTCTTGTGTTTAATTTGTCAATATATATTTTTTAATACTAAAAGAGAAAATTAATTTAGATTGTTCCACCATCAAATTATAGTTGGCTTTATTTCATAAACAACTGGATAGTCGTAAATTATTTATAATTTTCCTTTAATTGTTAATTTTGTTAATCATAATGTTAATTATATTCGGTTTTACGCATTTTAAACCATTGATGGATAAATAGAGAGTAAAGTCTAGATTAACCACATAAAATAATTGCAAAAATTATGAACCTATAATTCAGATATAAATATTTTTATAGATTATGAATATTTTTTTGTCTTTTAGTTGTATGCATACAGAAAATAGTATTTTTCGAGGTTATAAAAAGTAATTTTTTCCTGAAGTAAAAATTACTAATTTCAGAATAACTACTATTTCTGTAGGTTAAATGATTTTTGAAAAATTAAAATTTTAAACATGCATATAAACTTTTTTTAGATTTAACTTAGCACACTCAGGATATTTTAAAGTGGTAAGCTTAGATATTCCTTGTGAAAGCAAGTGAGTCGTATTGTTTACTGTTATCAAATTTTAGTACAATGAGTAGGGCTAAGAATTATACCCATTTATAAATGTTGATAGGTTTTTATGAACACACACACCATCAGTCAATAAAAATTTTCATTAATTGTCGTGTTGTTACTGAGATTATAGTTTTATGGGGATTAGGGGTTTATCACCCTAAAATTATTGTATTTCTACGCTAATCCTGTGAAACAGTTGCACAAACTTGGGACCCTTTAAAGTAACTTAGACAAAAATTTATAAATGCATATAGTTCCTAGCCCTAAAGATGAGTAGTAATTTGTAGAGACAAGATATTTATTTTTTCGTTGAATTGATCGCAGAGTAACTTCCCAAGGTAAGAAATTTTATATCTTCAGTGTTTAATGTGATAATTTCCTCACAGATGTTTAACTAAAACATTCGTGTTTTCTAAGTGTTTTTGATAATACTTCAGTAGTTTAATTTGTCAATATTTAAGTTAATTTATAATTATAAATTTTTTATGTATTGTGAAACATTGTCTGTAAACAGCGCTGACATAATTTGATATTTAGGTTTAATGCTGTATAGTATACCTAATGTCTTTTACGAAAGGGTTATTAATGAATGGTTTTGCTGTAATTGACATCGATTTGATTTCTTTATTTTATTCGTTATGGAGTTTTATTGTTTGTTTATTCGTTATTGTAAATAGCATTCCTCTCGTTATTTATTATTATATTATCAATTTTAGTTCAATTTATTCGAGATTTACATCGCCACTTTATGACCCTTTTTGAAGTATATAGAAGTTAATATAAAATATATTTTAAGTTTTATTTGTTAACAATATAAGTGGTAAATTTAGTAGTTTAATTCAACATTTTATATTTGTTTTTAGCTAAAGTTAGACTAGACTTTTTGAAGTCCTTTTAAAGGATTAATTGTTTCAATATTCCCATGACGTGTATTAATAATATAATTTATACATTTGAACTGCAATAACCTGGTTATACATTTGTCCTTGATTTTTTTATCTATATCTATCATTGTTTAAATAAAATTTTCACCTCCATAATTAGTCGGTTTATATTTTGGTAAATTATCCATTTTTGTTTGAAGAAGCTGATTGTCATATGTTATATTAAATATTCAAGAGAACCCGTTTTATGCTAATTGTATGGTTGAATTATAAAGTATAAAAGGGATTTGACAATGGTTAGTTTTCTTGTATAAACCGGGTGGTCATGAGCATTGATTTTAAATAGTTTAAATCAATGGAAAGAGGGACGCGTGTTGAGAACTTTTTATGTACCCCTAACGGTATAACCGCCATCTTGCCCCATACTATAATTTATCCCTCTGTTGTGTCTTTCCGTTATTTTAATCTGAATGAAAAATACATTGATATAATTCTAATTTATATTTTCGATATATTTTAAAATATAATTTTGATCCAGGCTTTATTTCAGTTATAATTATATGTTAATTGAAGGCTTCTGATATCAAAAGTGGCTAAACCTATTTACTTATCCTATTAGATAGGCCACATTTGCTGTTTTACCCTATAATATGTAGCTTATTTATTTAAAGATGTAAAATTATGTATGTATATTTTTCAACGAAATACTTTGGTTGTATCTAATTGTCATAAGGTTGAGATATCATGTGATATCGTTTATCTTCTTTTTAATTGTGCATTACTAATTCGTTTCAAAAAAAGTTAGTATGTTGTTTGGTCCGAGATAATGTTGATTTTAAAATTCCAGGTTTTTAATTGCTATTAAGTGTATTATTATTTTATTAAAATTAATAGAAAAGATTGTTTTTGAGCAGTTCGACTGTTCGATCGATTTTGTAGCTATCTAAGCGTGGTCGCCATATTACATAAAGTAATTAAGTATAATTATATACCGCTAGAGGGTGTGCAAGGATACAATTAGTTTTTATTCTTCCATGCGGCCGGGTAGTTTTTCTAACCGATTGTACTTGATCGAGTACTGGTGTTTTATATATTTTGTATGTTGGTGTGCGTAGGTGCCGTTGCCTCCGTCCAAGGGAAGAAAGGGAAAGGACGCTGCGACCACTACGACCGCGCGCGCCTCGCGTCCATGGTGGTGAACTGCGGAAACCTTGAACGACCGGTGGCCTTGGCGCGCGCGGTTTTTATTCTCGCGCTCTCTCCAGCTACCACCCGTACACGTTTACTCTCGTATATTTTGTATACATATACATGCAGCGTTCTTTGTTCGGGCTCTCACGATTCACAGAGATGAGGTTGGCAATGCCGGTTTACCGGTATTTATGATGCGGAGGGTGGGGTCCGGGGCGGCAGCGCCATTGGGTTTTTATAAAACGGTCGGTGCCGGCTGTGGTGATGGTGGGGATATATCCGTCGCCGTCGTTGTTGTTCGGCTAGTGGCGGGCCATACGAACACGCAGGTCTGCCTCGTTATTTTTTCTCCTTCTCTCTCTCCGCCGCCTTTTCCATAGCAGTTTTAACCGTCGTCTGCGCGTTTGCACTGTTAGATCTAACCATATACACGCGCGTCCGTTGCTGTCGCGTTGTTCCCTTTGTTTTTTTTTTTATATATATAGTCTATTCAACGTGCGCGCGTGTGTGTGTGTGTACGAGCGTGTACGCACCGCTCTTGTCTCGTGTGCTTCTATAGTACGCGCGCGTACGGATCCGACCGACAAGCGAACATCGTGTGTGTGACGAATAACGCAAATCTGAACATTTCGTACGTACACGCGTTTATTGTGCGACCGTAGTGTGTAGTTGGTGCGCGTGTTCGTAACGTTTGTGCGGATAGTGCCGCCCGACTAGGAGATAAAATCGCGCGAATACCACCACAGACTCTGTATAGTCTCAGGCGGCATGTCCGAAAACCGCGCGGGCAACAATGTCGGCTGGGGCAACCGAGACGACCACGCGGCCGCCGCCGCCGCCAATGTTTGGTGGAGTAACAATCAACAAGATCCTCAACAACAGCATATGCAGCAGCAACAACAACAACAGCAGCAGCAGCAGCAACAACAGTTGTTGAACCAACACCATCAGCAGCAACTGGCTGCTGTGGCTGCTGCAGCACAGCAACAGCAACAGCAAGCCGCTGCTGCGGTGTCCGCTGCACAGCAATTTTATAAAATGGCGTCCACATTCAGCCATCAACAACACCAACAACTGCAGCAACAACAACAACAGCAACAACAGCATCAACAGCAACAGCAGATGAACAACGTATCCACTAGCAACAGCAATACAACGGTTACTAGCAGCTCTAGAAACCCGATGGCCAACTATGCGGACTACGGTATCGCCGCTGCTGCAGCCGCACAATGGTGGCCGTATCCAGGCGCAATGGACAACAATATTCAAAATTTACATAACGTTCCGTCGCCTAATGCGATCATGGTAATTAAGTGTGATAACATAAAATGCTTTATTTGATTCTACCCAAAAACTGCGAGCGTGCGCGCCATTTCGTACGTTCCAACAGCTTCCGGTCCTTATCGTGCCGGACGTTTCGCCCAGGCTCCGTTTTTTTAGTTTAATTTTTAATTAATGATGATCACTGTTAATGATGGTGCGTTGGCGTGTATTCGTAGAAAGGGGCCCTATGATGATGAGATGCGGGCGCGGTGTGGAGGTGGACGCTTCTTATCATTATAGTTGTGCGTTCACGTGTTTTCAAACGCTTTTCTAGATAACTAATTATTAATCATTACATATTTTTTATTGTACCGATTTTTAGGCTATCATGTAAGGTATGAGCAAAGTATTGGTGTTTTTAACCGGTTAGGTTAGACCATGTCATATTAATCATCCTTCGGGAGTTGTTCCGTGTTATCTTGTCGCGGATATTGATTTTTTTGTGTCTACCATTTACATACCTATTCGTTTTTATGCGGATATCGTGTTACGTATTTTGAAGTATGTTCGTTGTTACGTTATAATAATATTTCTATTTATTTATTTTTTTATTATGTATTTTATTATATTAAAAATGTTGTGAACGTTTGTCATTGAACGAATAAATGGAAAGTAATCTGTGTGGCCATGTAATGTTCTGTTATTGCTGCTCGGTTCTTGCTATAAGGACAATGTTGGGTAATATTAGGATCTAAAATGATTTAGTTACTATTTCACAGTTTTCGTTTCAATTGTTTGTTTTTAGGTACATGATTTTTTAATGTCAACGCTTGGTTTTTGGTAGTAGTTTTCTATCTAAATCTCTTATATAGGATTATTGTTGAGTAAAAAGTTTTGTGTTGTATTATTGTGTCATGCAATATAAATATGAATCGTTGATATTTTCATTAGTGATTGGATTATTTTTAATTAGTACAACGTGGGAAAACATTTTCTGATAGTAGTCTGTGGTTTAGGTTTGAGTATCAGTCAAAAAAGATGTTAATTGTTAACAACGACACAATGTCAAGGTTTTCAAGGGTCCCCCATAGCCTTCATGGAATATTATTTCTGGTCCAGCGGTTACAAGAAAATCTGTTTATTATTCACTTGTTCTCTCGGCTTTTCAGTCAAGTTTCGTGTACATTATTTTTACAATATTTTAGGTTTAACATGTGTATCAGTAAAAATAAATCTACCGTTGCAATTATTGTATAATTATGGTTGACCCAACTCGATTTTGTCCATTACTGCCTAATTTATGTGATATTTATTGTTGATAATAGTAGATTATGTTATCTCATATTGTAAATTGTTGTTATTATCTTGTTTTAGAATTTATTTGAAGTCATTAGTCGTGGTAGTAGTGGTTTAGTTTTGATATGCCTTGTCATATTAATTGTGTTTTAAACAGTTGTAGTAAATTTGACTCTGAAAAATACTGTTAACTGTATAATCTACCCAACGCCGGGTAAATGACTATTATTTTTTTTATTATTGCTGTTCCATATTGTTTTCTATTTGACTTTAAATACACAATATCGAAATGATTGAACCAGGTCGTTAGCCTTCACTTTCAATTGTCGGTTTTACATTACACTGTCGTGTCTCGTTCTAGCCACCATTTTTATCGTGGAACAATACAGTCATTGTAGAGTTCAGTGTAAAGTGTAGGTACTTAATAACGATGTGCTGTTTGTGTTGTGCGTTGTTTGCTCTATGAATGAAAACTTGGATGCCAGTCTGTTGTATGGCCCGTGGCGATATACTTCTATGTGTTTGAAGACGAGCAACATCGTCGTCTCGCATAATCAGGAAATCCGTATTTGTTTTTAAAAATAAGTCAGTAGTTTTTTGCCCTACTAACCTGTTGATTTTTTTTTTGTCATCTTTTTATTTAATCGTGTATTTTCGTATATACTTTCAATTGTGTGGCGTCATGATTTTAAAATAGTAGAATTCGTCAAGTTGTCGAGGTACGACACCTTTTTTTTTTTTGAAAGTGCGTCTAACTCATCTTATCTAAACTTCAATCGAATATCTCGTATCAATATCTTCTCTTCTAAGTATTAGATAACCGTCTAGGATAAGAAATTCTTGATAACGTAATTGGTTCGTGTTTTTTGCTGTTGGATGTTTGACATGTCGTAAAAAAAAAAAAGAAACTCGGCTGCAACGAAAACCTGTTATTTTACCCTAGACCTTTCTTCTAATGTAGTTTACCCACATCTACAACGTACCTAACTCATTGGTGCCTTCTACTAGAATGAAAAACTAAAGTAAATGTTTTGTTACATTTACCTGAAGTAGCTTGAAAATCGGGACATTGGCTAAATCTAATGTAATTTTACGGAAAAAAAAATTTGTTGTCAATACATCATTAATTGTGGGTCTTATTTCCAGGTTAATTTTTTTTTCTAATGACAATCTATTAAGAGATTTAGAATATGCCATAAGTTATGAATAACGTATAAGTTGTATTACTGTTACAAAATCAACGATAAAAATTCATGTATTTATTAAACTCTGCTTTTAAAATGCGGGTATATAGTTGGATGACCATCGTAGCTCAAAATTTACCTGATTATATTTAATTAAAAAATTTAAATAATAATAAACTAGTATAAACAATGTATACCAGTGAAGCGTACAAATTTTAAAATTCTGTGTTTCTAAGCTTAGCTACTAAACCGTATTTTACGGTCTGAAGATTTTATACGAACAGATGTTTTCTTTAATTAATATTTTTTTAATAGTTTAATCAAGTATTGTTGTATGTTGTATTAGTTTTTTTTTTTTATGAACGTTACCACTGTACAAATGAAATATTTTAATTGTATGGCGTAAAGTAGTTATCGTAAATAACTATCTTTTTTTAATACTCATTTCTTTTGTTTTTCAGAACCGAGGGAAGATGCCTAGAGGCAAAGGGCCTGACGCTAAACCAAGGGGTCGTATGACCGCATACGCCTATTTTGTACAAACGTGCCGCGAAGAACACAAAAAGAAACATCCAGATGAAAATGTAATATTTGCTGAATTTTCGAAGAAATGCGCCGAAAGGTGGAAGGTCAGTATCGATTGATAAATAATTTATCATAGTGTCTGTGGGAGCGTGTGCCGCATAAATAAATATTTTTGCTCTAATTATTTTTTACTTGACTAACAACTAATTTAGCCACCGCTTAGTAACTAAGGCTGTCGCATGTTTACGTTTGTTTTCCAGTGTTTTTTTTTTTTTATTTATTCTGACCCAAATCGAGCCTCATGTTCTATTCTTGTAGTAATTTTTCTCTGTGGGACTATTAGTTTTATAATTTTATCTTAGTCGACATCCAACAAAGTATAGACGTTGATTTCGTTTTCGTGGTTGTACCGAAATTTTATGATACGAATTGTTGTTGTCAAAAAAAAAAAACCGTTTTCCCCCGCACCCGTCGCACTATGTTGCACATGGCACCTGCTTACGTCTCTGAAGTTACTGTAGGACTAGATAATATTTAAATGCATTTCAACGTGCATTCATTTTTTATACTTGTAACGTATGAGAAATTAATATGAAGTATCTTTGTCAACTGTTTATATTTTACCCGAATTCAATGCGAGCAGAGTTTAATCGTTACTCGTACACACTAAATTGAGCAACTAAATGTTATTTTTTTTCTCGAAATATGATGGTGATCATGTTTTAATATCGCTGAACGTGTGTATTCGTTATAACAATATTACTGTAGGGAACCGCTGGGTTTCCATGGGACTGGTTTTTGGTTAAGGGGGTGAGTGGACGGGTCAGAGATGGCGGTTGCAGCAACATACCATGGAACCAGTTTTAAAACGATAGATCCCCTACCCCCTTGCTTCCTAGATCCTTCGACCGTGGCTTGTTGTACATCAACACACGTTTAACCGGCACCCACTGTTGCCAACCAAAATATTTAATAAAACTTACGCGTTTACATTCTATGTACTAATGACGCAGTAGCCAAATGATCATTGTTTTACTGTATATGTACAATGTTATTATTTAGAACGCCATCCTGTTTTTTGACATTAATTACTATTAATAACTTATATTTTATTTAATACTTTTAATATAGGGACTCTAAAATTCCAATTGAACGGATTACTTCTAGTAAAAGTAAATAAATAATTAAATAATCTACTTAAGTGCATTGTCCGTTACCGAATATTAATAATATTTAAACGGTAGGATGTTCTTTTTCATATCTAAATTCTTCATTAATCTATAAAATAATATATTTTTGAAAAATATCTCCCTTCATTTTCTCATATTTATGCCGGTCATTAGCCGGGTCGGCGCCGGCTGTGGAGGGATAGTAGTGGCAATAGGGTGAATGTGTATGTGTGTTGGAATGAGTTCTGGGGTTCTTTGCCATCGATTTTTTGTGTGTAAAATGCTGGGGTTGTTTTCTGGAGGGTGCGGGAATAGCGCATATAACTGGGCATTGGCAGCGGTGACTGCAGTGCGCAAGGGGAAACACGACGGCAGTGAAGTTTAAAACTGAGAGCGCTGGCGCAATTATTAAAATTAACCCTCCCCCTATCTTACACCGAACATAACCGCCCCTCAAACTCGCTCGAGATGTATGATATGAACTATATCTGTGTAAAATGAGGACGTGCAAGTGGTATGCGAAAATAGTCGCATAGCTCTATGTTCTTACACACACATTAAGAATATTCGCTTGGTTTTCCATAGTACATTAAGATCTTATCATAAAAGATATATTACAATTTGCGAGTGTAAGTGAGAAGTAATAGGAAATATCTCTGAAGTGTGTGGGGCGAAGTGAGAATAGGACAGAATATTTATTTTCGTAAAATATTTTCAAAAGAAAACAAAAATTACCTTCAATAGTGTTTTCAACCGAATAATAAGTTGAAAATTTATTTCCGACATTATGAAAAAGTTATATATTAATTAATCGGGACAGTTAATGTAAAGAAAATATGTAAAAAAGAAATATTTCGTTTATTTTTATTTAACTTATAAATTATTTTAATCTGTTAACTAAAGAAAATTTTAACTGACATGTTTTATATTTCGAGAATAGATGTTGTCTTTCAAACTTATAAATAATGTTTCGAAATATTTAGATATGATCAAATTAATGCTTTAACTGTTAGTAAAAGCTTATTGTTTATGCAGTTTGTTTTGAAAATCGTAAATTGAGTGAATTTGTTGGGATAATCATAAATAGTTAAGAGATAATTGTAATTATTTTGTCTGTATTAAATGATATAGTATGAACTGTTGTTATAATACTAATAGTAAAATTAGCTTTAAATTTTAGTATATAATACTTTATAATATAATATAATATAATACTTTAACTAAAGTAAGTAATCATATTGAAACATCAAGATGTTATTTCAGTATATAAAATCTATATTTTAATATAATTGATGTAATATGATAATATTAACAAAATATTATAATACAGATAATTATTAAATCTTATAGTTTGATTAATTAATGAAAGATATAATTATGTAAAAAAAAAAAATTATTCTTTCGGAACAGCTGTCATATAGCAAGCTAAAAAAATTTAAGTCTAAACTGACTTAATATACATATTATTGTTTACAGACAATGAATGAAAAAGAAAAGAAAAGATTCCATGAGATGGCCGACAAAGATAAAATGAGATATGATACTGAAATGCAGAGTTATATACCTCCTAAGGGTGAAAAGGTCCGCGGTAAAAAAAGGAAGCAAATCAAAGATCCTAATGCTCCAAAACGCTCCTTGTAAGTTATATGTTCAATTACTGCTATTGTATGATGAATGTTTTTTTTATATTTTACTAAATATTTACTTAACACCATAATGTTTAATATAGAGTGACTTCACGAATGAGTAAACAGTTAAGAGTTTTTCATCTTATAAAGTTCTTTATTAATTTATATTATTTTAATGTTATAATTATAAAGTTCATAAGTATTTATTCCCTGAAAAATTCTATATTATAGTAATGTAAAAATATTAGTAATTAACTAACACATAGTTTCAAAATTCATAATGAAATATTGAAAATTAAAAAGTCTTTTTCTGAATGAACAGTTAAGGATATTGTATCAAAACTATGTTATTGCAGTAAGACTTAATTTAGATATTTTGTTAGTTTTAAAAACTACTAGCAATCAGACCCGTAATTTTAAATTGTCTTAAAATTGATCTTAAAACTTTAACAAAAAAAGGGAACTAAATTAAAAGTTATTTATATTTATATATAATTTGTATAATTGTAATAAAAATGTTACAGGAAAAAAAATTACAACCTTTTTAGTTATTTACAAATAATAATTATGGTTTATTTCTTTATACTGGTAGATTGACATAAGTGAACATTTAAAATTAGCTGCTAGATGATTGTTATGATATACTCTGTTATCATTGTTATCACAAGTTAAAAACTTATATGAACTCTTATTTTTATAATAATAATATTGTTGATGAAGATTAGAATTGAAAGTGTAAAAAGAGATTGTTATAATATTTATCTTTCATTAAAATAAGTTAGTAAAGCATTATAAATTAAAAAAAATGTTCATCTTATTGTGAATTAAATTTTCAAAATCGTATTCTGTTGTTGTTGAAACAATCAATATATATATATAAGGAAATTATTTCTATAAAAACTGTTGTGTTAGTTCACTTCTATAGTTCATATACTGGTGATGTTACTCTACATTTTATATTAACTTACAACATTAACTTTCCCAAATTATATTATGGGTTATATAATAAATGGTGGTTGCAAAAATTTGGATACATAATAGTGAATGGAAATGATTAAAAACTTAATAGACATCTTAATCTATAATATATTTTGATCAAGATGCTAAAAAGTTATATTTTTTTTGAAGGTCTGCATTCTTTTGGTTTTGTAATGACGAGCGTGGAAAAGTTAAGGCTGTGAATCCAGAATATGGTGTTGGTGATGTAGCTAAAGAGTTAGGTAAAAAATGGTCTGATGCTGATATTACTGTAAAACAAAAATACGAAGCAATGGCAGAAAAAGACAAAGCAAGATATGAAAGAGTATGTTTAGATTATCTACTTAAAATTTAATGCAACTTACATTATATTTCAATATGTTATATGTATTTTTTGATGTTTTAGGAAATGACCGAGTACAAAAATAAAGGTAAGCCCAATTTAATGCAACAACAACAACAACATCAAATGTTAATTCAACAACAACAACAAATTCTTGCACAGCAACAGCAGCAACAAATGATGCAAGTTAAAGATGAAAGTGAAGAGGATGATGAAGAAGAAGATGATGACGAGTGATCTCTTTTAGATTCTTATCGGAATTTTCTTTTCGTACCTCGGAAATTTTAATTTTAAACTTTGTAAATACAAATAAGTTAATTTTTAAGTTATAGATTTAAAAGTAATTTTGTACAGAATAACTGTAGAAAATTGGTTTTGTCTCAACAAAAATAATAATAAATATTGGATTCAAATTTTTAATTTTTATATTAGAGATTCCTATATTTTTACTAAAACTTTACAAAATTTACCGTAAAAATATTTCTTTACAGACTGATATATTATGATGAATTTTAAAATTACATTTTGATTTTTCAGGAGTATAATATTAAATTATGCCATTGAATTTTGTACTAATTTAAGGTTTTAACTGAAAATACCTCCTGTAAAATATAAATGTAATTTTATATTTGTACATATAATTTTTTTGTTTACTATTTTATTTTATTTTTTTTAATTTGTAATTTTAATATTAGAGAAAGAAATTGCATATGGCGATAAATTGCGAGATCTTAACCATTACATTAAATAATATTTTCATAATAGGACTACACATCTGATGGATTCAAACAATTTTTTATTTACAGTTAAGTTTGTTTTTTTGTTATGATAAATATCACCTTTTTTTTGTATTTGTAATCAGATAGTAAAAATGGAAATAAACCATAACATACAAACTTAAATCAGTTTATAACAATACATGTACACTATGGAATAATTTGCACTATTGTGCTGTGTGACAAATATTCTCGCCAAAAAATAAAAAAATATATATAATGAAATATGATAAGTTTTGTTTTATTTAGTTTTAATGACTCATTTGACTTAAGCTTTATAATTATAATTACTAAACTTATTTTGAAATTTGACCAAGTTTTCTTTTAGTAATTCATCTCAAAAAATAAATTAACATTTTGTTATATTTAAGGTTCTAACCAAAAAGAAACATGAAACATTTCATGTATTAATTTCTTGGATCTATCTCTAAAACTTAAATGCAAATTGTAAATGAATGATAAATATTAAACAATATAGAATGATTTTTAGATATAGAATGATTTTTTTAAGAATAACTAATTAACTAAAGTCGGAATAATCAAAAATAGAAAGATAGTTCTCTTTTCTTTATTTTTGATAAATTCATATTTTAATTTAGGTACGTGTTTGCTATAGTAATAATAAATGTAAAAATTGTAATACTAAAATTTGGTTGCCATAATAAGTATTTATTTGTCTGTTTTACACTTTAAAACTCGAAACTTGTAATCAGGATATAATTAAGTAAATAAGAGTAGTTGATTTGCTTATAAAAATCTAACAATTCTAAAAATGAAACACTAGATTTGCATCGAAGTGTTTTATGATAATGATTTTAATCATTGTTAGATATTTATATTTGTCATCACTGTTGTTTTCTGTCATTTATATTTTTATAAAATTTGATAAGAATAGTTATAGTTAATGATCTGAGGTGGACCATATGTTCTGGCAATGCTCGTGTATCGTGATGAAACGACTCATCCAATTTTTCGAATCCCCATATCTCGATTTCTAATTATGATAGACTTGTAATTTTAAGTGTACATTAAGCTCCACCGTCTTAGAATAATAAATGTTAATAATAAAGTGTTAAGCGATAGAAATAAATGGAAGTATTGCTCATGAAAGTATGTATAAAATGAGATCGTTAATTAAGGTAGACAAATTTGGTTATAATATAGGTTACTTTTTTTTGTAGTATAGGCTATTTAGAACTTTGCCCATTTTTACAGTTGTAGTTCTAGTTTTTATAGTATATTATATTATTTACAATTAAATTAATATAAATATGTAGATGAATGTTTACTATAAACTGCGTAGTGTTCAATACTTAATGGTTGAAGGGGAACTTTTAATTTATTTAATTAACTGTTTAAGAACACATGTCAAAAAGTAAAAATAAAAAGATAATTTATAGATAATGTAATAATACATACTACAAATTAAAAACACAATTGTATAATGTGATCAAAGCAAAAATTAAAATTATACATACTTATAATAGTACGGTTAATTCGACAATTTATAACAAAATGTTATAAATGTTGACTGAGACTAAATAAAACAATAAATGATAACGAGTATTGATATTAGGTTCTTAAAATTTAATTTTCTCTAATAATTCATAGCCGTCGATACTGCCATTATTAATTTAAAAACAAGACTTAATTTATATTTATGTTTAGCTTGTAGGGAAACAATGTTATAATTTTTTTTACAAATCCACTATCTAGTGACTATGCATATAGGAAGTTATGAAAAATATTTTTAGTAAAATTAGAATTTAGTAAAAATTCTTCATATCGTTATTTTTATACTTCATAGTATTTCAGCTTCGTGTCGAAGCTGAGAATGTATTATTTTTATTTGATGTGCGTTTTTTTTATGCCTGATTATGACAATTCTCATTGGATTATATTTAATAACCAATATGTCATAAGAACCTAACTTAAATTTAGCTGAATGTATCCATGTCTAAAATTTTAACAAAACCCCTCAATTTAAAAAAATTATGTCACCATGAAAAAGGATTTTTTTTTTAAATTTAAATGCTGATCCAAAATTTTAATAAAATTACTAGCGACAATAAAATTTGTTTTAGTTTGTTTTTTCTGAAAATGTGATGAAAACCCTAAGAAGAAGGAAGGTTTGGAATAAGACCACTCACGTATGTGAATTTTTATTCAACTCAATTTTTGAAAATATTCTAATAATCTCATATCTCTCGACCTATATCAATTTAATGACTGATGTAAACTACAATATTAAAGAAATAATACAATTTCTCACCTATAATGAATTTCTCAATTTAATGTTTATCTAATTAAATTTAATATTCAAAAAAAAAAAATTGTTCTGACAATTTTTCTATGAGAAATCATCTATTAAAGAAAATAAAATATTTTTTTCAATTAAACAAATAATATAGCAAACATTTAATATTAAATTGAAATTTTAAGTCATAAAAATTGTAAAATTACAAATATAATAACTAGGATATTTAATAAATTCTCATTGAATCGTTTTTTTATGTCAGTGATATTAATCACTGTCAGGTATCACCTATACTATGTCATGGCTCCATTGTTTTAGCTTCGAGCGAAGCTGAGAGAGTATTTTTTGTGACTATCATTTATTTTCTCTGATCTAACTTGACCTACCTTTTTCAACGATACGTCAAATGATTACAATTCGTATCTAGTTGAATTAAGCAGTGACTTATCCTATGTTCTCCATACAGACAATTAAAATCATTCATTTATAATGATTTCAAAGTATTTATTGACGAATCAAGTTTGATATGATAGGTTTCAATTACAAAATTAAATCATTTTACTTTGTAAATTAATAATTTTTTTAATCTATTTGTCTGTGCTACTACTAGACTATAATATTTCAAATTTTTTGATAACATGTTGCTATATAAATAATTTCTAAAAAAACCCAGCACAGGGGGGTCGCGGCACAGTGGTGCCGTGGCATAGTTGGATCAAGTATAATGATATCTGACAGTAATTAAAATCACTATCAAAAATAAACGCTTCGATGCAAATCTTTAGATTGTTTTTAATTTTAAAAAAATTTGTGTATTATTCCAAAAGCTACATGATCTGCTAGTTCCTTNTGTTTTTAATTTAAAAAAAATTTGTGTATTATTCCAAAAGCTACATTATCTGCTAGTTCCTTATTAATATCTTGATTCAGATAAAGTATGTCGAATGAAAAAGGGATTATTAAAAAATATTATTTCTCATNTTTTAATTTTAAAAAAATTTGTGTATTATTCCAAAAGCTACATGATCTGCTAGTTCCTTATTAATATCTTGATTCAGATAAAGTATGTCGAATGAAAAAGGGATTATTAAAAAATATTATTTCTCATAAAAAAATTGTGTTGATCCATACACTTTTCAATAAGTTATAGCATTATAAAGTTAAAAATGTAAATTATAAAATCGAGAATTTTCACACAAAAATAGCATTTGGTAGCCATTTTCACCATGAAGACAAGTCCAGAGGTCAAATTTTTTTTTTTCTAATTAAAGTATATTACATAAGCTTTAATTTAAAATATATATAAAAGTGTCAGACCTTCCGGAACATTTTCAAAATTTAAGTTAAAAAATTAAATTTTTTGTGAAAAAGTCATTTTAAATCCCTCCCTGTGGGCAGATAAAGGGTCCGATTTAAAAAAAAATATACCAAATGATAGGTAAAGACATCAAGCATCTATATAAAAAAAGAATTATATTGATATGTTCATTTTTAAAAAAGTTATGGCAATTTTAAGTAAAAAAAATTGAAAAAATTTTGAAAATTACTGATTTTTAAATTTGTAATTTTTTTGGAGGTTTCCCTCATTTACGGGGAACGAGGGAAATTTTTAAAATTTTTAAGGGTAATGTCTTTGACTAGATACGATTTGTGATCTTTTGACGTATCGTTGAAAGAAATCCATTCGGTGAGAGCTGAGAAAANTAAATTTTTAAGGGTAATGTCTTTGACTAGATACGATTTGTGATCTTTTGGCGTATCGTTGAAAGAAATCCATTCGGTGAGAGCTGAGAAAAAGTGGTAACAGACACAAAAAAAACATATCATAGTAAAACCAATACCTTCTCAGCTTCGCATCGAAGCTAAAATAATTGTTAGTTTCTCCTGAATTAACAATGGGTTTTTATATCTTTTTAACAACTTTTTTTTTTCATTAGTTATTTTAGTTAAAGTAAATCATTAAAATTAATTCAGTTCATATTTCAATTGTAGAATCTTTTTTAACACCAAAAATTACTAGGAAATGATTATTATTATTTCTATTTAAGTTATCTATTACGATAAAAATTCAAAAAAATATTGAGCTTTTTCGATAAATTTACTATAAATAGTTGTTATAAAATTTCCTGACTTCATATTAATCTTAACAATACATTTTCTTTAATTCTCATAAAATTTCCTATTTAATGATGTCAATTTTAAACTTGCAAATTGAGCTAAAAGTTATGGTAATAAATTAATTTTTTTTATTATATACTTGCACAAAAATCAACTTTATAGGATTAAAAAAATAGGTTAATATGTCATTTTCCTTATTTTTAACATATTAATAATCAAAATCAGTATTCATTTAAAACAATTTTTTTTGTTCTTAATTATATTTTTATATGTAAATACTTATTTTTTAATGATATTATTAATATTAAAACTTAGAAGTGATAGAAAAAGTCTAATTGCACATATGAAAACATCGCGAAAAGTTGATTTAGAAAAGTATATTTTTGTTTCTGATGGAAGTTCCTTGTAATCCATTGTATAAAACTTATAACTTTAAGTAACAAATATTTTTTATTGAAAAGTATTGCATCAAGCTCTTTAAATTTTTATACGCGTTAAAAGTAAAGAAATATACAACTATTTTATTATTTTTATAATATCTCTGTTAAAATTACATTATTAAATTATTGAATATCAATTCCATACTTCTTTTAATTATTATTATTATTATTTATTCATATATTATAATTATAAATCAAATAACTGATCGGGATAAAATTAAGGGAATAAGAGTTATTGTTGCTTTTTAAATAATCTTTCAATTTCCTAAATTAAATACTATCTACAGATTTGCATCGAAGCGTTTCTTATGATTGTGATATTTTAATTACTGTCAGATATCAGCTATACTTGTACCAACTATGCCACGTTCATACTGTGTCGCGACCCCACTGTGCTATCGTTCTTATAAAAAAATTTTGACTGTACAAAAACCTTAAAGAATAATTTTGATAGTAAATAAGTACTAAACAAATTCCTGATGATTTACTTATATAAGTATACATATTAAATTAATTACTACTGGCAGATAAGATAACTAATTAGTCTGATTTTAGCAATAATTAGAAAATAAAGGTTTTTAATTTTTATTTTATATTACATGTAGGTAAATAAGTTAACTTAACATAATAAGCTAACCATATTATTTAACACTATTCAACTAGTGTGAAAATTAATCTAATTTTCGATTCTAGTAATAAATCATTTTTACAGTCAAATTGGGTTAACTGTATTTGATTCAGTGCTGAGAGTTCCTTTAAGATTCATTTTGAATTTGTACTTTATCTATCTTTGCTCTGAAGATTGTTTTTTTCTGAAAAAAAAAAAAAGAAATAGTATTTTAGAATACTGAGTTAAAAATATTGTTTTTTTGTAAAATATTCGAAATTTAAGCAATTTTGTTACACTATTATGTTTTGATTTTGGTTAAATTTTCATATTGGAATTGCTAAAATTTACCTTAAATTATCTCTAGACATTGAATAAAAATTAAACTATTTTATTATATTATAGCAACACTAAATAATATGTTATAAGAGATTAATATTCTTCGCATTTTCATCCAATATTTTTTTAAGTGACGTAACATTTTACTTTTCTGAATTTATATGAGACTGATGGTGGGATTTATGTTTTTATAATTTTTAATGAGATCTGATAAGAATCGTTCTGATATTATTTTACAAAGATCTTATGTCTTTTTTATTAATATCAACTTTATAATTTAAATCAGTGCTGTCTCGAAGTATTAATGTTGTCACACAGAATAATAATTTTCCATTAATAAAATCTACAACTTTTGTGAAATTTTATAAATTTATTTTTAAAAAATCATTTTTAAATATGATTAAAAATAAAACATTTGATCTTATCAGATGGAAAAAGTACATAAACAATTATAGAGAAAATCATAAAAAACATATAAAAGTAGAAATATATAATTAAAATAGTTCTATGTAAGGGTATCATTCAATTAAGGTCATGAAATTTATATTTAGCTTCATTAAGGATAATATATAGGATACTTAAGAATATTTTTAAAAAGTTGTTAAAATAGAGTATTTAAAACTAGCATTTTTATATAATATTATAAAATGTATTATTTATTTGTTAGTAACGATTGAAATAACATTTAATTGATATTATTAGTCTTCCCGAAATGATTAAAATTATACGCAAGTTCTAAGAATTTTTCTTAAGAAGGCGGAGAGAAAGTTATGTTAAATTATAAATTTTCCTGTTACTATAGATAGAGAAAACTATAAATATATATTATAACCAGGTCTTAAAACCGGTTACCAATTTAAAATAATATTTGATTTTTACGGGTATCGATTAATTGTTTTTTAAGCCCTTATTATAATTATTATTCTATAGTTTTTCGAATGAATTAAATCCCTCTTGAACACAAATTTGCCATTTGATTGTTGACACGAGGTAATATATTAATTTATTTATAACCAAGGTACCTTTTTATCATTTTGATATACTCACTTTCTTCCAAATGCTATTCTTATTAAATCTGAAATTGGTGCATCAATAATCAAGTGTAATAATGCAGCAACTAAATAACTTTTTAATGCGTCATACATCCAACTATTTATCTGTTAACGATAGTAAACAAAAGTTGATATAAGTAAATTTTAATTGTATAAATAATGAATGTCTCTACTATAAATAAATATTTTTTCAATTATACTAATAAGACAATAACAACATAATTTTGGAAGGGTTCATTGTATGTTCATTATAACCCAACCCCTCTACACATTTTTTTAAATTTAGGAAGGGCTAAGTCTCTAATTAGTTTTTGTGATTATATCAATAAAAAAGTTAGTTTAAGATAATATTTACATTTTCAAAAATGAAAGAAGTGATGCTTACCAAAGTTGTAAATGAGGCGTGAACAGGTGTTCTCTCTGAACCAGTTGATATGATCATGACAGTTAAATTAACCAAATATACACAATACGAAAGCCTTCCCATTACAACAACAAAACGGTTGCTCAATAATTTTGTCAACGGACCTATTTGATAAGTCATTAACTTAAAATAATAGTCATTGCATAACGGTAACTTATTTTTTATCTACCATAACCCGTAGTAAAATGGCAAAAGACCATCCAACATCCTATTAAAGCCCAAGTGCAATGACTAATACTAGCATAAAAAGCATTTTCCAATGGGTCATATGATCTGTTTCTTTGGTAAAATTTTGCGCCATAAAATTGAACCAACAATGAAACAACTGAGACTATAAATGTGCCAACATAAACTACATTCTACATACAAATCAAGGTAAAGATAAATGATTTATTTGTTTGCAATTTTTTTTTGTTCATTTTACTTACATAGGACATTTTAAATTTTGATTCTTTTATTTTTTCTATGATAAAGGCCATGGCCAAACCTATCAAATATGGTGTAGCTCTCAAATAACTAGGTCTGTAGGCTTTATCAAAGGTAACTGAATTTCTTGGGTTGAGTAAAAATCTAAAGGGAAAACGTTATTAAAAGCAGTTAAGTACCAAATAAAAAGTCTTCATTAAAATAATAAACAATAGTTTATGTAGATTGTTTTTATTGGGGAGTATTTTTTTTGCTTTCAAATACTCCTACTAGTGCCAAAGTTATAAATTGAAATGATTGGTCGATGAGTGGGAGCTATGGACCTGTCAACTCTCGTCCTTCTACATACGACATTGTTAATAATCATATTCAACTTTTATGTTTTACAAGGATATTAACATTAGTCTTTTTAATATTTACATAAAAATTACACTATCTTATTGAATAGAAAATGTTATAATTAAGAAAATGACTTGACGATAAAAACTTAGAAAATTAGATGATAATTTTTTCTTATTATAGACAAACAAAAAATATATATGCTTTTAGAGTAGTTCAAAATTGTAAACGTTATTAATAAAATAAACTCAGTACAATGGGGATGCAGCATAGTTAGGCTTTTATAGATATCTGACAGTAATTAAAAATAAACTATAAAAAAAAAAGTTCTGTTAAATTAGTATATGTTAAATTTCATAAAAATTTATAATTTTAGAATTGCTATTTTCAAAATTTCACTCAAATTTCAATTTAATATTTAGTAAAACATCTACAAAGACGAAAAAGATATTTGTACGTATGATTTATTTGAAAAATTCTTAATTTGTCAAAACGTAGTCGAAGGATCAACAATGTCTATTGATGTTATTAACTTTATAAAGAAGAGCTTTTCAATTTTTATTGAACAATTTTTTGACTTTCAAATTTTGCTATTAAAATACTGCAATATTTAAAAATTTTAAATCAAAATTTCGATTTAAAAAAAAATTCAAAATTCATTAACTTAAGAACGAATTTGAAGTACTATTTAAGAAGAATAAAACAGTGCTAGTTCCACAGTGATAGCTTATTTGGATGTGAAGTTATAGGCTTTAGAACATAAGGTGTTTTTTCATGTTTTTAATAATGAAAATTGCGCTATCTGGTAAAAAAACTATAAAAAAAAAAAAATGTTTTTTTGTTGTTAATGACCTTTAAGAAATCTATGATAAAATTTTCAAAAATTTCTGAACTATAGCAGCATACTATAGTACACATTAGGTGATGTGATTTCACATGGAATGACCCAATATATATTGGTTCTTATAATGTATTTATAATCCACTAATAAATTTGTAGTATTATTGATAATTTACTTTGTAATAAAATTAATAAATAATGAAGATTAAATTTAAAGAAATTATTATTGACTTACGGCACATCTACTTTAAGTAAACCATCTAATTTTTGTGTGTATGTTACATAAATAGGCATTATCAAAGACAAAGTTAAAATCACTCCAAGTGTTCCAAAACCTAACTTATGATTTCTCGTATATAAATAAGCTATTAGTATACCACCTATGTAAAATTGTAAATCACATGAGATGTACCAACTTGCTATAAGACACTGTAAAATTAAATATAAAAATGATTAAAATGTTTGGTATTTTGGTTTGTCCTTAATGTGTGTGTTATTATCATTAACATTTGAATATTAATGAGTCGATGAAGATAAAATTTAAAACAATAGTGATTTTATTTTTAATTTTTAACTATATTTCATTTAGAGAAATACTATAAAATTTACCTGATATTTGAAGTCTATAAAGTTGCTGATGTATAATAAGTTTGACCACCAGTTTTCTTTACAATTATCTGCTTCATGCCAAGTTTTTTGTTGCCAGAGAGGTCCATTTCCGAAATGTGGTAATATAAAAGCGGTAAATGCCATAACGGCAATATATGATGGCATCATTCTATAATAAACCATGATCAAGTTAATTAATAATAAAATAATATATTAATATTTTAAATAACTATTTATAATTTATGTAAGTAATTATTCATTGCTTACCTTAAAATTCGGTAAACTAATGGCATAAATAATTTCATCCACAATGGTCTTTCAGTTTTAAATACTGGTATAAGTACTATATATGTTAAAAATCCACTCATAAAAAAAAACGGATCTACTAAATTCATACTAGTTGTCAAAAGAGGAATATTATATAACTAGAAAAAAAATTATTTTCATTCCAATGTTACATCGGTATAGCTCTCACTTACTAGTTCCAATTTTTCCGGATAAGAAAAAGGAGTCGCTGCAGTATTTAAAAACCGATGTCCAAATAATACAAATATCATTACTAAAACTTTAAAGCCGTTTAGTAAATTCAATTCATTATCTTTATCGTATGTCAATAGGTCCTTGCAATTTTTTATAATAGAGAATGAAAGGTAAATCCCGTCATCAATATCTAAAATATTGATAGAAGTAGTAATTGATAAACCAGAAAAATTATGATAATGATGCTATAGTGGTATTATAATTTTTTGTTAAATTAAAATTATTTTCCTACAAAAATATTATATGTATAAAAAATTATTGATAAATAAAATATGCATAGGATATGATTTATTTACTCTTTTAAAATAAAATCATTATCTAAGTGTTTCTCACTTCTTATTTTTATTTTTATGCATCTTACTTTTATTTTTATTTTCTTGACGTTTGAACAACTTTTTCAGATGATAAAATGTAGCACAACAGCAAACAAAAAATATAAGACTAAAAGCAGTCCTAAAAAAATTATTGAAATAATTATTTTAAATTATTATTTGAAAAAAGCAGGACTAGAATCCGTTTTTTAATTAGTATTATAATTTTCATAAAAAAAAATCACCAGGTGATGTAATAACCATTATTGACGGGATACAAATCTTTTTTTGTAGAGCATAAAATCGGGTTAACTGAAGCGATAGCTTTGATATGTTCAGGAAGAAAATTTTCATCTAATTTCAATTGTAATGATTTTTGTAAATCAATGGCTGAGCAAGATGCTGGAATACAAATACCAAATTTCATAAGGTTCCTAGGAATTTGATCTTGGTAATCAACCCACTAAAAAATGATTATTTTTTATTAAAATTTATAATTTTATACAGAAAACATGAAAATAAGAATATGTTAAAAATTTATTTATCTATTATTTGTGGGAAACTCGTGTGAAATATGTACAAAAAATAAATTCAGGAGATGGAGACGCTTTGTTCTTCTTTTAAAGTTGGATCCAGTGATACAACCGTATGAAATAATAACAATGTCTTTGGATACAATAAGAAAATTTTATGGAAATAAATCATCAAAAACGTATCTAAACATATTAGCAGATCACTTTTCAAGATATGCTTTTGTTGTCACATTTTATAATGATAATAATTCTATTAAATTAATTAAGTAATAAAGCAAAATCAAGTTAAAACTATTCTAGTAAATCAATATACAGAGATACTCTAAAGAATATGTTTAAAATAAAAGTATTAATTTGGTATTTTCATCAGTCGACTGTCCAAAATGTAATGATATGAATGAAAGATTAATTCAAATATTACTGAACAGCAGATTACGATATAAAGTCAATAATGAAAAAAATAAATCTTATATAAAAATAGCGGTATTTATTGTTATTATTTTTCATACTAGTTTGTTTAAATGTGTCGTATGGTTAAGTATAACATAAGGTTTTAAATTGTCAGTTACTTATTTAGGTAACTATATTTGTTATTGTATTATATATTATATATATGTTATGTGAAATTTTTTTATTATAATAAAGTTTTTTTTATTTAAATTAGAAATTTATTTCTTTATTTAGAAGATAAACATTTAAAGATATCTATAAAACATAATTTTTTAATTTTTAAATGAATTGCTGGATGGTAGTATTGACTCAATGTATCTTTTGCAGTTAATTAATTTTAAAGTTCTTCGGAGAATTTCTCGTTCCCATTATCCTTTCTTCGTCCAAATTATTTTTACAAGTTACTAACAAAATGAGCCGATTAGAAGAATTTTAAATAGTGCCAATATGTTATCTTGTTAACCACTTCCATTTTCTTATTTTGTACTTTAAAACGATAATTTTTTTTTTTATATATATATTATTTCAAATATTCTATTGAATCGTTGTGAATTATATTTATATTTATATTATTTTATAAAATTGTTTAATAACCTGATATTGTATAAAAGGGCTAAGCCCGTTAAATTTATAAATAAATAAATAAATAATTTTATTTTATACCCCTAATATTTTATGCCAAGAATTATCCCAAGTATTGATTTTTTCAGGTTCAATAAACTTATAATTTTTATTCGTTAATGTGGAATTTAATTGAATATCTGTGATACAATATTGGCCTTGAACTGGATATTGAACATCAACACATTCGTCATAAACGCCCATTTGGTAAATACTACCAGAAAGAACACCACTTGGATATTTGTACCATGAATCTGACACTAAAAACATACAAAACAAATATTTAGCAATTTTTTAATGAATAGAATTTGACATTTGCAGCTTGTAAATGATGTGTATTGTTTTGAATTAATTTAAAAAAATACATTAAAAATAATACTTTAAAATTAATTTACTTGAAATATAATGAACAAATCTATGTAATTGTTTTGGAGATTCATCTATGGAGTTGAATATTTAAAGGTTACTCAAAAAAATGTATAGAGAGCTCCCTTTAAGATAGCAATATCTTATATCATTAATAGGTCTACAAAAATTAGTTAATCATGTTTACAATCTTATTTTAAATTAATACATTGTTGAAAATCATGAGCTTTATATAACTCTATTGCAGTAAATAAATAATGATCCTTTTATTAAAAATTCAATGAATTTATAACAAAAATATTTGTTAGTTTAAAAATATTACAATTATTTACTTTGTGAAGTATAATACAATATACAGAAAAGCAATAGTACAATAAATTATGCATTAAAGTGTAAAAAACCTTATTAAAAATAACTAATTGCAAATCATTTATGTGTTGAATTATTAAAATTTATGCAAATATACTAAAAAGAACATAAAATATTATTTTTTGGCTACGAAGTATATTGCATTCAAAGAAATGTATGTTTCTATTTTTTGTCTTTATTAATTAAAAATTAATTGTTAACATTCAATTATTCTGTATGTGCTTTTTTTTTGTGTCTATTGCTATTTTTTCTCAGCTCTGACCCAACCAATTTTATTCAACGATACGTCAAAAGATCACAAATCGTATCTAGTCGAAGACATTCAAAAATTGAAAAAAATTCTCTTGTTCCCCGTAAATGGGGAAAATCTCAAAAAAAAAAAAAAAATACAAATTTAAAAATTGTTAATTATTGAATTTTTTTTACTTAAAACTGCCATAACTTTTTCAAAAATGACCAAATTAATATAATTTTGTTTTTATAGATGCCTTTCATTTTTTATATTTTTTTTATAAATCTGACCCTTTACCTGCCCACAATGGGGATTCAAAATGACAACTTTTTTACAAAATATTAACTTTCTCAGTTTAACTTTTGAAAGTGTTCCGGAAATACTGACACTTTTATATATATCTTAAATTAAAGCTAATGTAATATACTTTATTATGGAAAAAGAAAATTTCGGACTTTATTTTGTCTTCACGGTAAAAATGGCTACCGTATGAAATTTATGTGTTAAAATTCTCGATTTTATATTTTACATTTTTAACTTTTTATTTCTATAACTTTTTGAAAAATGTGTGAATCAATACAATTTTTTTATGAAAAATACTATTGTAATGATATGCATAGTACATCATTAATATCATAATGAATTATTTGTAATATAAACAATACATCATTAATGTCATAATGTATTATTTAAGACTTCAATCAATCAATCACACAAAATGAAATGTATACCAATAAAAATAAGATATATATATATATATATAGGTACCTATTAAATGTTTAAATATACTAATGAAATTTCGCAGAGAAAAGTATATATTAATTATATAAAATAAATAGGAAATAATAAACAATATGTAATGGTAGCACATAAGATGAAGGTTAATAAACTATGTCTAATTTATTATACAAGATATAATAGTATTTTATAATATGTAGATCATTATTGATGAAAATGTAATAAATAACGATTAATAAAGAAATAACGGTGGCGTCGGGTGATCACTTCTTGCCTTTGAACCACGATCAAATTTAATATAAAAAGCCAAAAATAAAGAGCATTCCGAGACAGATGCAATTAGATATTTACAGAGGCACTCACTACGCTCGATCATTCCACACAACGAAATATATGCAAGAAGTGATCCGCCGTCAACACAATTATATTTGTACGAAAAATACAACATCTATTTATTTAAGAGTATCGTAGAAAATATCAAGGTAGGAATCTAATAAATTCACCAAAAATAAATAAGGTTTAGAATTAAATTTTATGAGTACATAGATTAAGTAGGCATACAGGAAAATCAAGTGATTATCAATAATAATAAATATACCAAGTAAATTTAATAAATCGATAATGTTTGTACAGAGTTACTTGGCAGAGTTATATCGTTGATACGTGTCTATTTCAGGAGTTAGGTTGGAGGTTCATATGTATAGCCACCATACCACTCTGGGTAGACACACGAGGTGACTCANATACCCTCTGGGTAGACACACGAGGTGACTCAATCCCACCTATCATCGATAACCGTCAAAATTCTTGGCATTATTGATATTTAAGAATTGACAATTAATTATAATAAATCCCATATTAATAAAATAAAGATCACTTTATTTTTCTATCATCTTCTATCTTTCTTACAGACCCTCGTACTCATACCCCGAGTAATAATATTATTAATACAATAAAGTAGTGGATCAAATAAGAATCGAAATCCCGTCATATTCTATTTAACTTATTTCTTTTAAGCAACTGTCAAAGTACTCCCTAAATTAATACAATTAATAATAATACCCCCCTAATCATTAATACGATAAAGTATTATTATTTTCTTTTTTTGATTCACTACACTATTGACCTTTATAATTCATTCAACATATTTTTTTTTCAAATCAAACCATTTTTCTTTATACAGGGGGTATATAACATAAAAATACATATAGAAAGTAGAACTTTTTCAAATTAATTTTTAAAAGTGTTCCGAAAATACTGAACTTTTATATATATCTTAAATTAAAGCTTATATAATATACTTTAATATAAAAAAAAAATGTTCGGACTTTATTTTGTTTTCACAGTAAAATCGGACATAAAAGTTAATAAAAAAAAATACGTTAAAAAATAAGTTAATAAAAAAAAATTCTTTTTTATATTTTTAACTTTATAATGCTATAACTTTTTGAAAAATCTATGGATCAATACAATTTTTTTAACATAAATGCTATTTACATACTTCTTTCATTCGACATAAAATTAAAAACAATCTACAGATTTGCATCGAAGCGTTTTTTATGATAATGATTTTAATCACTGTCAAATATACTCTATACTGGATCCAACTATGCCACGTCCCCACTGTGCTAGGGTATTTTTTTTTTATGTAACCAATCAAGAAAGTTTTAACTAATGAACAATTATATTAGTTAAAGCTATTAATTTCTTAGATCTATTAAAAAATCGTTACCATAATAGCACAATAAGTATTGTAAAATTTATACCCTCGAACAACTGTTTAAATACTGGTTTTCTCTAAAAAATTACGAATAAGTATTCTTATCTGTCGTTACCCAGTCAAGTGTAATATGACTGATAAGTACTAATTAGATTTGTTTTTGAAACTCTAAATACGCAGCTTTTTTTATTTGAAAATTATTTTTATCCTATTGTAAAATAGAGAGATGATAACTCTATTAATCGAGTACATTTTTAGTTCTACTTCTTAGGCTTTTTAAGGTTAGCTTTAAACTGGGAGGACAACGACTTAAAAATAAATTATAAGAGCCCTCTATCTTAGAAATAGAAAATTCACCTTTCAATCATTTATATTTTCAAATTTCACAATTTATAAAGCTAGTCAGGAGGACGTTGCCCCATTGTGACTAATATTCCAGCTAATTACCGAGATTGTAATCGATGGCAGAATAACAGAGTTTTTTCATCTTATCGCTCGACTACAAGGACTTTAATTGCAACCAATTAGATTTATTACTTGAATATTAACATATTTAATCAGAATGTTTTTATAGATTTTTTTTTTATTTTATAATAAACCAGCAAGTTCTGTCATTTAAGGTATTGTATTAAAATATACATAAAAAATAGCTTGCATTGCCTTCTTCACACTAAAAGAATTTATATCTATACTATATGAGTTTTTTTGGATATCTATCTTGTCGTTAAACTTAATTGCAGCGGTGTGATTTGTTCAAAATCGATTTTTTTGTAAAGGAAATACTGTAGTCAAGTTGTTTTTATAGTATATAATATTATATATAATTACGATGAGTTTTTTTTTGTTAAATGTATTTTTTAGACCGATAGTCTTGTAAAATGTTGCTAACCTTGAATTTGATATAAAAAGTCAAGAGTTATGCCTACGATACAACACAGCATAAAAAATGTTACTAATGGACAAAGAAGGATATCAACCTTCTTCCTGAATATCCGTTGGGCTCATTTATAGTACATTAAATATTTTTGAACTAGTATATATCAGTACAAAATCATAAAAAAAACCTAGAACTCCATAAAAAATAATACACTTTTTCAAAAACAAAAAATTGCCAACTTTTATATTTCTTGTAATTTGTAAAGTATTCGATTGATTTTACTGATATTTTACTTGATTTAATTTAAGAAAATTATATATATATATATATGTATAGGTATCATGTAAATAATATATATACTGAATTAAATGTTACAATTAATGTCCTCAATGAATTTAAATTTAAAATTATTCACATTATGTGTATCTATAAGCTGTATTGTATTATAACAATAAAGTAAATTGTTAATATTAATAATGCAACCAGACAGTGTGTCTATAGGTGGGTTAGTTCGCCTGCAGTACTAAGTATTGTTGACTCATTAAATTTATAAGACTTATAAATTTTTATGAGTCAACCAAAAAAACATTTGATTGGCTAACTTTTCAGTTATTTATTGTTATTATTATTATTATTATATGATTACAAATATCTTTATCGTACACTTGCCACTTAGTTGAGCTTGGTATAATCAACAAAAAAAAAAAAGAAAACAACATAATATTTTGTTAGACCCACTAGTATGTATAAACAACAATATAATATATTGTTATTTGATAAATCAGTGGGTTTAGTCATTGTTTTTGTATGTATGTGTCACTTAAAAGTCATTTTTTTATTTATTACATTTATAATCCTTATTCAAATGTAAACAAAAACATTTATTTAAAGTTTGCAACCATATTGTTTTGAATAATAATAAAATAGTAAGTTACATAAATTGAACAACACATCAACA